GCTCCAACAGGTCCGTGTCTTTCTTATGCTGAGGGCTCCAGAGCTGGACGCAGTGCTCCAGGTGGGGTCTCGCCAGAGCAGAGTAGAGGGGCAGAATCCCCTCCCTCGACCTGCTGGCCACGCTGCTTTTGATGCAGCCCAGATACGGTTGGCCTTCCCGGCTGCGAGTGCACATTGCTGGCTCACATCCAGCTTTTCATCCACCCGTACCCCCAAGTCCTTCTCGGCAGGGCTGCCCTCAATCCCTTCATCCCCCAGCCTGTATTGATATGGAGGGTTGCCCCCACCCAGGTGCAGGACCTTGCACTTGGCCTTGTTGAACCTCATGAGGTTCACACGGGCCCACTTCTCAAGCTTGTCCAGGTCCCTCTGGATGGCATCCCATCCCTTGGGCATGTCAACAATTTTTTTTTTTCTTCCCCCCCTTAACCCTCCCAACAGTAATGCCTTTTATTGAAATTGTCAGGAGTGGCAATTTCATGAAGACATCTGTGCCTTAGGAATCAGGGAGGGTTGTCATGAAAGCCACTAAAACCCCTTTATGATTGAAGATTATTGTCAGTAGCTAGCACACAGACTGCTCTGAAAATCCATTGAAAAATTCTATAGCCCTTTCCAACTTCCAAGAATTATAGTAATCTTTCTTCAACTTGAAGAATGTGAGGTTGGAAATTTGGCCCTCACACTGTTCATGTCATATATTCTTTATAAACCAAAAAAATTAGCCGCCACAGTTCATCAAGTTCAAACTTCATAAACACTAACTCATTAATGTAAATTAAAGATACCATATCTGCTTACTTAATATCCATGTTTTCCTGCCAAAATTTGTGTGATCAAATTAGGGATTGGCCTTGTGGGACATTTGCTTCAGCACTACAGTTATCTACTGCTTACTACCAATGAAAGAAGCAGCTATTTGATCTGCATAACCACTGTGTGATCCAATGTTACTATCTTTATAATGCTCCAACAATAGGTTTATTTTTGTAAGTCAGGGACAGAATTCCTCAACTGCTGAACAGTAGCCTTATTCAGCTCCAGTTAAAAATGAGGAACTGGTAAAGCACAGTTACACAAGTGGTGGGCATAATCAGAAGTCCAACTTTATTTCCATAAGAAGTTTTCCACACAAAAAAACCACCCAGAGGTATTTTTTCGAGTTGCCATGAGAGGCTAACGAAGATTTCTTACACTCCATTCCTCTCAGAAAGGACTGGACATTTCTTTCTTAGAGTACTATTTTCTAGGAGTCCATTTGGTATTTACCCACCAATTCATGTCTTGTTCATAATATTCAGAGATATAACATAAGGTAATACAACTGATACCTGTAAATGACTACTATTATCCTTGCTAAAGGTGTCCTGACACTTTTTAGACAACCAAAAGAGTCTAAATAAATCTTTAACCCCACATACATGTGAAATGATCAAGTTCTTCAGATATCTTTTCAGTCCATTAATCGCTTCCACTAAAAGTATTATTTTCCAAAACATGCACACGTGAGAACTTCACACGATTTAGAATACATACATTTTTGTTGTGAAACTATTCAAAAGTTAGTTACTGAATTAGAATAACTCAATAGATGGGATCTTATCATCAATGTTTTATAACAACTCTAAGGATCACCTGGAATCACTACACTTTTTTTAAAGAAAACGTACGATGCGTGTTGAAAGCTTTAAGCATACTGAAGTACAGTACATGGTTCTCTCTGGAGAATACTCATTACTAAGCTCAAACATTGTTTGAACCCACCTATTTTTCATTCCGATAGTCCTTTATGCACTTTTCACTGGTGGTTTTTTTACTTTTTGCTATCCAAGTGTGGTGTTTGTTTTTTTTTTTCCCCACTGGTATGATAAATATAGTATAGTACAGAACTAAAGCAGAATAAATGTCATGCAAAAACAGATCTTTGCATTCCATGCAACATCCATTTTGGGGTTTGGTTTTTTTGTTGTCAAAATAAACAAACACCAAATTACTTCTCTTTCTATAACCAGAAAATAAATTGGAACAATGACAGAAAAGATAAAAGTGGTATGGCAAACCCCTCCCCCCAAATTTAAATCTTAGAAGAAACTATACTATACATTATTTGAAAAGAAGTATGATATCTATAAAAATCAAACATTTCCTGGGGAAGTGGCCTAATATTTATTGCACCCCTTTGTACAAGCACCATTCCATTGTTCCAGCAACAGTAGATAATGATTTTGGCTGGCCTCATGCTGACCTATAATATTTATATGCCAAGGCATTTATCAACTTCATAAAAACCCAACAGACATATTAGCATGTAAAAGGAAGTACATTTCCTTATTACAAGTGTTTCTTCCTGATATTGCTTCATGTCTTCAAGGAAAACAAATGGTACCACAGTCCACCCAGACATTTTTTAAAAAAATATTCCTTAGTAACCACCAAGAAAGCTCATGGAAATGCTTCTGGGGAAAACACAGGGAGTGAACAAAATTACCGTGTTTTTTCTTTTTTTTTTAGGGGTGTGGGAGGGGAGCAGGGAAGGAACATGCACAGTTGCTAAAAAAAAACAAACCACATTAAACTGAGAAATAAGTTCTCAAAGCAGAATATAAGCAACAGAAATGGAGATTTACATTTAATCATTTCCATTGGATTAAAAAGAAAGTACTGATTAAGGCCAGTGAAAATGAATTATGCTGCATGTTTTATGCCACATAGAGTCATCCAAAAAAAAAAAAAAAATCACAGGATCATCAAATGATAGAATGGTTTGGGCTGGAAGGGACCTTTAAAGATCATCCAAGTCCAACGCCTCTGCTGTGGGCAGGGACACCTTCCTCTAGACCAGGTTGCTGAAAGCCCTGTCCAATCTGGCCTTGACGCTTCCAGTGATGGGGCACCCACAACTTCTCTGGGCAACCTGCTCCAGTGCCTCACCACCCTCATAGTGAAGAATTTCTTCCTTATGTCCAATCTAAATCTACCCTCTTTCAGTTTAAAACCGTTGCCCCTTGTCATGTCAACTACAGGCCTTGGTAAAAATCACTAATACTGGTGAACAACAGTGTTTTCGGTTCTTGTACAAAGAACCTACACCAGCCAGAAGCAGTTACGCATTGGCCACTTCCTGAGGAGGCAGTGATATATGGCGTGCGCAAGGAAGGACAAACTGTTCTATCAACCTATAAAGAAAATGCTTTGTAACAAAACACACCAGGAGAGGACGACTGTGGCAAGAAGAATCATTGTATCCTGATTGTCTAACAATTTGTAAAGAAGCTGTGGCCTCCCAAAATACTTACATTTTCCACACCAAAATACCATATTTAAATAGATCCAACCACTACAAAAAAAAAAATCACCTAGCCTGTTACTTTGGTGCTAGAGGTCATGTGAAACAACTGTTTGGGAGACACCTCATGCTTTTACATGACTCAGCACACAGCTGAGCACTGCCACCGCTGTCTGAAAGGAGATGCTAAGAACAGGTAAACTCCCACCGCGCATATTCATGCCCTAGCACAGAAGTAGGGAACTACTACTGCTGCTACCGTCATAACACAAACAATTTTCTCCACGTGATGGTGGAGCACTGGAAAAAACCCAACCCCTCTATTTGGGAACCCGTATATCATGGCAGATAGCTAGGAATCCATTTACACTGTACATTTGCTCTATAAGAAAGCGAAGAAACTGAATAAATGAAGGTGCTTTGTGGAACAGAATGCTTTAAATGCTCCTGAAAAAAGTGATACAGATATTGAACTGCTGCTCCATCACATTTCCAAGGTACAAAATGTACCAAGAAGGGATATGAACACTTCCCACCTTTATCCATCAGTCTAACTCACTGAAAAGGTTAAAAACATGAACAAGACCAAATTTGAAATTCACCGTGGAGGAAAAAAAGAAAAGCGCTACAAAACAGATTTCTTTTGCCATTTTAAAAAGACAGAGTACACAGGATATGATGAGTCAGCAAGAGAGCTCTCTACTGAAAAAGGTATATAAAAAACCCCAACATCATGGCCAAAACAGCCACAAATTCCATGCCAATTTTCTTCTAATCCACCTAAATACAGCCAACCTGATACACAAATTGTCTAACTTTGAAATACTTGGTTATGGCTTTAAAAAAAAAAAGCACTGATAAATTGTATATACATTTTTCAATTTTATGAAATATCGTTACATTAACTTATGCAGCAAAATTTTATAATACAAAAGGCTAATCAGAAAACTGTCCATCTCTTGTGTGATATTAATAAGTTAGTATTAAAATTTTGGTACATCTACATTATTTTTAGAAAACTTATTCTTCATACAAGTCAAAGTTCTTACCATAAAAGTTTCTGTTCTGCTGGGATACTGAATGTAACACATTGTCAGCTTTTTTGGTTGACAAGTTCTGTTCGCTGTAAAAGAAGCATACATGTAATTTGAAAGCTTAAACTATTGATGTATGATCAAACTTTATTGCCTTGAGTGCATACAAGCATAAAAACTTTGCCAATGTGAAACTGACTTATCACTGTCACATTTTTTACTCACACACACACCCCATACAGAAGATCTGTAAGATAGTAGGAGCGGCCCTTTAATACTTTTAACACAGCTCCCACACGTGACAGGCTGTGCTGATGCAGAGAAATCTCGAATGAACCGAATCCTTTAATATGGACAGTCAAAAAAAAATACACAGTTTGTGAGGCTGGTGTTCCCAGTTTGTTCTGGAGATTGGACGCCCACTCATCCCAGCCTTACTCTAGAGTACAACAGCAGGATGCCTAGTATGCAGCACGTAAAAACCAGGATTTTCTTGATCTTAACATCACATCAGCCTGCTTAATAAAGACAGCTGGTTCCCAAAATTATAAACAATAGAAAAATGATATGTCACCTGTGAGGAAGAACTACCAACTGCACTTTTTCTCACTGTAAACTAAAGAATTTCATAAAAATTTCAAAAAGTGCTTATTAACAGAGATCACCAAGAAAGCAAGACAATTTTGAATACCTGTTTTCTGTAGTAATTTTCAAATGGAACAGATACCACTGGTCACCTGATACAATTTATTTGTAGGTTTTACCTAGAATTGCCACTTTAGTGCAGCAGAAGTATACTACCCATGTGGTATACTATATGGTTTCCAATTTATCATCAGTATCACTCATATCTGAAACAAATACATTTTTCAGTGCTAATAGTTTACACCCTGACTATTTTGAAGTTAAACATAGAGCAGCATCTGACTATGACAAGCTTAAGTTTTCTAAAAATGCAAAAGTCTCATCAATATCAATACCTTAAGTATGCGTAACCTTTAACTAACATTCTATCTCGTCCATTTTCCTAGTTTGACATTTTGCTATTCATTAATATTTTGTTGTGACAACAAACGTAATTCTTCTAAGCTGTGATGCCACTTAGTCTTTCATTCATAGGGATTTTCATTTAAAAACTTTTTCTCAAACTGGAAGAAAACTGGAAGATTACAGCAGCAAACCCAAGAGGAAGAAAAAAAACCCAAGCCATCAGCAGATTTACTAAATCTTGATGGTTTAGTTTAGCAAAAAGCATGCCTTACCAATCCAGATAGGGAGCTGACAAACACCCTGCCAATTCCTTCCTTCTCCAAGAGTAAGGCAGGGAAGAAGATACACAGTGGCAATGTTTCAATTAAAAAAAAAAAAAAAAAGGCTCTTGTTATTGAAAGGACAGGAAAACAAGGAAAATACTGAAAGAAACAGGAAGAATGGAGAAAGAACCTAACAGAAAACAAAACACTAAGTAATTTTTTTCCACCTTCTAAAAGAATTTAAGTAATTAATTTGTATTTTTTTGTTTTTATGAGACAAAGTCTGAACAGTTAGAAGGGAACTAGTGAGTATTGCCAGTCAATTCTAATTACCAGTCATATAAAATCCTTCTGAAAGTCCCAGTAAGTCATTTGTATGTTGATAAAGTATGATTTTTTTTCTTTATTTGACAAATATTTAAACAACAGTGTAAGCAGATTCTTAATGAACTAAGTTGTTTTAAATTTATCATTTTCTCTCTCATAGAGAGACACATGCAGCATTTGGGCATCCCATTACCTCTTGGGCATGTTTAGAAATGAGGCATGGTTATAACTGTAGGCATCACTGTTCGAGGCAACTGTAAACACTGAAAATATAAACATGGCTTGGAGTAGCTTTACACATATTTATATCATTATCCAATAAAAAGCCCATAAGGTTTTTGTATAGTGGGCTTTTATACCGTTTGTTGGGAGGGGAAAGGCAGGAGGGAGGGAGGAAAAGAGGGGAGCAGATAAAAGCATGGAGTAAAAAGTGTTTTTTAATGGGAAGTAGACACCACAGTCATAATCTCCAGTTCAGAAAGTCCATAAAGCAGCCAAATACAATAGGCCAAAAGAATACCCTTACAAAATACCACTCTATCTGCTGTCGTCTTTCATAAACAACTGCTACCGGCTACTGGTATAGACTGAATGCATGTCAGATGAACCTTTGGCCCTATCCTGTCATGGCCATTTTTATGTCCTTATTGATGCTTCTATATGCAAAATAAAATAATACCCTAGGAAACTAAGAACTAAGCAAATGACTGATTTTGCTTTCTTGCAGTTCCAAAATAATCAAAGACATTTCAATTCATACAGAAGCTGTATTTTTTGCATGTTTTAAATAAAAAAATTGTTTTGATAACTTGCTACAATACTTTATGAAATAAGTTTTAAAATTTTGCATCTCCACTTAGAAAGTCAGAACCTTTCAATTTGCTGGTATTTGCTATTCTCTTCCCCGTAAAATAACTTTTCATGAAAATATACGTCCAAAAATTTGCTCAAATCTAGCAATCATTTGTGACTAGTCTTGGTCTCACAACTGTGCTCTTCCACTTTATGGATATAAATAAGATTCGAGAGAAGAATGTATAGGTTCTAATAGGAACTACGTTCCACATGCGGTTTTCTGTAGCGCGTGTCTTAAACTCTATGTGGAAGGTTGATAACTTTCTATTTCGCAGCACCACATAATCATTTAAGTTGGAAGGGACCTCTTCAGATCATCTAGTCCAACCCCCCTTGCTCAAGCAGGGTCAACTGCAGCAGGCTGCCCAGGACCACGTCCAGTTGGGTTATGAGTATCTCCGCAGAGACTCCATGTCTCTGGGCAATGTACTTGTTACGAGCATACATCAATTCTTACTAAGTTTAGTAAATTGGCTACTACCCACATTTTTGGCCAGGTTTAGTAATTTTACACTTTTCAGCAAAGATTTCTGTCAAACAGGTCAATCAATTATCAAGCAATCAATATATGTCTGAAGTGTTCTAGAAAACTGAATTTCAGAATGATGACTAGTAACAGGATACAGGATTCACCTATTGCCATTCCCACCTCCTTGTCAGGGGCCTGTCTGTACAACTGTCACAGATATGATTTATATAGACACTTGTATTCCATTACAGATGGCAGGTTAGCCACAGCCTAAAAAACTTGTAACTAAAGATGTGTAACAATTATTTCAAATTAACACACCCTGTCCCTCAGCAGGGCTTGGCAGTTCTGGCTCAGCGCCATGATAATGTGGCTCAGTGCCTTCCAAACAGAACTAGTGTTGCAGCCTCAGAGTGAAGGGAAACTTAACACTTAATTGTCCGCACTCTTATTTCTAGATAGGTTGCCACAGACACCTGACCTCAAGCGTATGAAGTTCCAAAGCATGTTTTCTTGATTTTTTTGGAAGCAACGCATGAACATTGGAACAACTTATTTTTCTGTAAATACAATCTATGCAAGTTCTAACAGCATTAGCATTACCTGCAGGAAGCACTTTCTTTAACATTCTTGACATCTGCTGGATTGATTCCTTCAATAACAGGCGAGTCCGGATTTGCAGATCCGTTGCTGATGTGATCACTGCTTTCATATCCAGATTCCGTCCTCTGAATTTGCCAGTTATCACCATGCATTTTTCTCTCTGTAAATCCTTTGCTTTTTTCAGCATTCCCTTTTCCCTCCGAATCCAGTGAACTTCGACTTCCTGTATCCTGTTTTGTTTCATCTTCGTATATAGTCATTAAACCTTTCTGGATTTGGTTCTCTTTTGGCCAATGGTTAAAGCTTCGCTCCTTTTCATGCTTAGATTTACTGTTCGGATTTGCCTTGTGCTTTGGGCTATGCTGCTTTTTCTCAGTCTCGCTGAAAATGCTGTCTACGTTTAGCGTCTCTCGCATAGGTTTCCAACCTTTACTTCTGCTTCTGCTGCTGGTGATACTTCCTCTGTCCCTAGAGCCTTGACTGGTGTCTGTATCGTAGCCAGTGACGCCATCAGTGCGGGTCCTGATCATTGGTTTCTCCCCCGCAGGAAAAGCTTCTGTTTTATTTGATCCAAGCACCTGTACAGAAAGCTTTGCTTGGTGAGGTGCATTGTCATGCTTATAGGGGCCTCTTCCCTGGCTGCTGTATATGCGCTGATCAGCACAGTGTCTAAGTCCATTTCCAACTGGAGGAGACCCCAACTTAACATTGGAACGGTCTTCCCCAATCAAATCTTATAAGAAAAAGAAAAAAGCTCCATTAAAGTTCTCATTAATATTTAACTGGTATTGTTACAGTACTTATGTTTCTTACACTATCTCAACAGATTCAGCACATATTTCAGAATACTGAAAACCGGGAAACTCTAATCTTACAGTGTGTTCTCTTAAAGGGAGAAAAAAATCTGCACAGCTAGTATTGATGCTAAAAGCTATTTAACCCATTGATTCGCTGGTCATGTTTTTAAAATGTACCTCTTTGTCTCCCAGACTCTTTTCTTGGTCCTCTGTCTGCATCTTTTCGTAAAGATGAGAAGTTTTTCATATCAGCCACTTTCTGAGCACACTCTCTGGATATGTCCTTTAGCCTGTCCTTTTGATCGCTGTAACCTAACTTAGCTGCAAAAAATACTTCTTGTCAAAGATCATTACTAAAAAACATTCATCATCAAAACACACAAATATATTTATGTACCATAACATTTAGTTTTTAATATTAATACTACTAAGAAGACTAATGAATTACATAACACAGATTAAGAAAATGAGCTGTATAGTACAGGTACAAATGGATAGGTATCTCCAAGGACTCCACTAAATGGAGCTAATGAAAGTAACCAAAGCAGCATTATGTCAAGCATGTCTTCCAAACACCTCTTACTTACTAAAATTGAATGCTCAAGACATTTTCAAAGCATATACAATTTACATCGAATTTTATGAATTATACTGAAAAAATGAACCTAAGTTTAATCTTGTCTAAATGTGAATGTTTACTTTTAATAAAACAGTGGAGTCTGTTTATGAAACCAAATCCTTCTATTTCTGAAAAGGTAAATACTGACCATTTTTGAGTCATCACTCCATCAAAAAAGAGTTACCAAGCTTAGCATTCTCAGTTTTAAAAAGTCTAGAATTCAACTATAAAGACAGAAGAGAAACACATCTCAAGAGAAGGCAGCATCTCTCTGCCTGAGAAGTATGGAGAGTTCAGAACAAAGGCACTGACAAGTAACGCAGAAGTCACTGCCTCATATGACTTCTTACAGCTTGATTTACTTGGAAGCCTAATGTACAGGTAGAATGGATTTTTAAACAGGTAAGACAACTTTTTTTACTGTTCTTTCCAAACATAAAGTCCATTAATATACAGGACTACAAATAATGCAGCATTATCACAATACTGTTGAGGAACAGTGTTCCTCAAATAGCTAATGATCCACAGAGCCACACCATGTGCTCCAAAGTATCAATCAGCTTCAAGTTTCTAATGTGCCTTTTAACCAACAATATGATTGGAAGGCATGATGATGTTTGAGAAATGGATCAAGTCCTCAAGAGCCACTTTAGTACAGGGGTAATAAAAAAAAAAATTTGCATTTACAGTTCTCCAGAAAAGTTAACATTCCATGGCAGATATTACTTAAACATTAGTTGTTATTCAAAGATTCATTCAGGTCAATGGTGGAATTCTTCCTTTAGAAACAGTACCAGCCCAGAGGTTAGAACAGACCTGAAATGCTACCAACTGAAATATTTTGTAAGACAACACGTTTAGGTTTTTTTGGGGGGTAGGAAATACATACCTGGACCTCTACCACCACTAGCTTGAATATGGCTTCTACTGAATGCTGAATTATCTGGCTGAAGTTTTTTATTACTTCTTTGACTAATGGGGTCTCCAATTCCATCCTCTTTCATGAGGTCTGATTTAGGAGCAGAATGCTTTTCAAATCCTATCAAATAACATATCTATCTTTAGAAATGAAAGGCTTCCTAATTTAAAGTTTCCAGTATCTAAATTAAAAAATAAGAAAACTTTTTAATTGCAGATTAAAAAAAACAAACAAAAGAAAAACCTTACAAGAAAAACCACACCACATTTCAACATGCTAGGCAAATAAGGTTCCGTAATATTTTATATACTGCCATATTTACAGTGGCAGACTGTAGTGGAATAGGGTCCTCAATTCTTTCTTCCCTGCAGCAGACTATATCCTATTGCTACTCATTATGTGAAGAGGAACATGTCAAATTCAATTGGTCTTTTATTTAATTTACTTGTATGTTATGTTTAGCATTAAAAAAAAAAAACAAACACAAAACCAAGAACCAAAACCAAGACAGCAGTACAAACTACAGAACCAATAGACTGGATTCTTACATATTGAGGCCTATGCTATACGAATCCCGGAGAAAAGCTTCCTGCAGCTCCTTCTGATTTTCCCACAGCTCTGAATTGTGCTCTGCGTGTTTGTGTGTGTATATACACAGGTACAAACACACATGCTCCAAATATCTCTCTGTATTTGTATGAAGCTTTACTTAAAGTATCTGTTTATTGCATTTTTAAAAGTATTTTAAATGAATCTATACACACACATAAGAACATCCGCATATACAGATATACTACAATTTTCTTCTGAAATTACTGGTTATGTGTAAAGCAGTTATTCTAGTAAAGTAGATTGTTCAAATCTACAATAGAAGATCTTTTTCCCCCCATTATCCATGAGCCTCTATTTGTATTCCCTTATCAGACACAAAATAAACAGCCATAATATTGAATATATACACTAATATCTTTGGAGACCCTTCAGATAATTATTGATAAAAGTATTTAAGAATGAAGCAGCTGATCCATCACCTTCTCCTTTATAATCCCCATTTCAGAAATACAGTTGATACTGTTACTAAAAAAGAAATAAAATATATCTTAATTACCCAAGTCTTCCCCATTTCCTCCCGCTGCTTTGCATTGAGACCAGTGAATAATCTGCTTTGGAGCATCTTCTGGAGATACAGCTGTGCCATCTGGGTTAGCATAAAATAGCAACAATGGCTGAAAGTGACATCGAATGCACCTGGAGACCACATCTTTCCATTTTGTTCCGATCTGAGACAAACAACAAAACAAAACAAACCCCCATAACTTTATCAACAGCATTGAACCCATTATGGAAAGAATAATCTATTAAGCAACAGGTACCAAATGCCTAATTCCAAAGGTACATTAAGATTCAACATTTTGGCACATGAGTTTATGTAAATTGCGGCAAAAAGCCAGAAGCAGTATTACACGGGCTAACCACCAGAACATCAACACTAGGAACACAGCTGCCAGTAATTAGGTTCTTCTTTTTCATTAAAAGAAGTACCAATTCAACAGCAGACAAGTGCATTAACATTCTGAAACATTCGGCACTTGGAAGGCAGAACTGTAAAATAGTGAAGTCAATTCTAGAATTCATCTGTGAAAACCGATTTACAAAACTAAAGGTTTATTAAAATAAAGACATTTGTTTGACTCGTTTCAAGTTTGATGTCAGAAGAATGCATTTTAGAAGAGTAAAGATCACTAAATTTGGTAGCGGTAAAAACAGTATTTACCTCTTTTACATTAGCGTCATCAAACAGTACCCATTTGCAACTCTTGGTATGAAAGGCAAAGGCACAGTAATGTCGGCTTGTGTAGCAAATCATTCCCACAAGAAAAAGTTCACTGTTTTTGGCATTTTCATCTGTAACCCTATAAAACAGCTGTAAAAATGGTTATATGTTTTAAAATGTGTAAAACAGCCTCAATTTCCAGACCTACTACTGGCATTTCACCAAGGCAACGGTGAATATCCTGTTGCATTATACAATTTTTCATTAAAATAAATAATAGTTTTTGCACTTATTAGGTCTATTTTAACATTTATTTTTGCATAGTTGAAAGGGTAAAACAATAATGCTCTGGAATAATTCCACAAATTTCAAACTGAACATGATATTCCTAGATTTTCAACTAGGAATTCACCTACATTCATCTTTGTACTTAGGCATAGGACCAACACTTCTGATGGGACTTCTTCCTCTCACAGAAACTACATCAAGCAGCACATTATAAAGAATGGTAAAAGTAGACATAAACTTTGAAGTTAAATTGTGCTTTTTTAAAAATACATATATATAAAACTGTATTTTGTATATATTTACATAAACATAAAATACATGTAAAACGAATTCTAGAATAAGCAAATAGTAAGTTTGAGGTTAGATACCCCAGGAAGATGAAGTTGTGTTGCCAGATTCCGCATAACCTCTTCTGTCAGGTCAGAGTGTTCTGAATCCCAGACTAAACCGATTGTGACAATCTCGGGACAATTCATAAGAACACGACGAATTTTGATTTTTTGACCACAGTTACTCTAGAAAAAGAAAAAAGTGATGGAAAGGAAAACAAAGATGTTTAAAAAAATGGAAGTCCAAAGTTGAGTTACTAGACAAGAAATAGTGCAACAGAACAACTCTGCAACTTCTTCTAATTCTCAAATTTAATGATGATGTTTGTTTCTAACTATTTAAGGACAAAATTCTTCATCACAAAAACACTCTGATGAAGACTACAGCTAAACTTCTACATCCAGTCACCACCTTAAAACAGAAATCTCTGAAAACATCCAAGTCACCATCACAACTTCTCTTTTGCTGCCCCTCCATTTCATCATTTAAGCTTAGGTCCGCATGTTCTTGTGTACTTTTCAGTGGTTCCTAAAATAACAGTATTTACACAGAACCATTAAGGAAGTGAGGAATTAAGTAGAACAAGCTAAGAGAGACTATTTCTGTCAACAGGAGCACAAAATTATTCCAGTAGAAGACAATGGTGTCAAGCTGTCAATATATATAAACTAAAGCAGCTTCACTCAGAAAATACACCTGTTCCAACTAATCAAAACCACCTAGCTCTATGTTGAGCATGAAGTGAAAAAGAAAACACGGACCTAATAACTCGACTTTCTGAACAGGCCACTTGCACCTACAATATCATGTTCATCTATAACTGGAGCAATAAAATATGAAATTAAGGACTTTTTTTACCCTAAGCTGCACTGCGCTGAAGCGGCCACATGTAATCCTGCTTCTAGGGCAATACTTTACCCCAATTTAATATCCTAAAAAGCTCTCCCTTGTATCTTAACGTTACGCAACATCTTTGTTTACTTACAGGACACTTTCTGTAGTCATCAGTAGTATTTGCTGCCTGCAGCAATTCTGCAAACATTTCCGGCTTGAGACGTTCATGCCTCTCCATCATTCTTTCTACTTCATTACTGTAAAAAATAAATGGAAATAACTGTGGATCTCCCATCTTAAGAGTTAACAGATTTCAGTCAACTCTCAATTAACTATATCTTATGACTAAAAAGAAAAGATACAGAGGTAAAACAGTAGCAGTACATACTTTTTGTCAAGCTCTCTCTACATCTTGCTTTTGAAATCCAAATGTTACTTTTGGACAGTATCTCAAAACCACATTTTAACAAAGGAATACACAGTCATTTTTAACACTTACAGCATTTCTCTGGCATGCTTTTCTTATTACTGGAAGGGTGTATATGGAAAAATGAGATACAAGAATAAAAGGTCTTACCACAGGGCTGTGGTAGAAATATAACGCACAAATTCCGTAAAAGGCAACGGGTCTGATGATGCTCCACAACTGCGACATACGCACTACAAAAATAAAAATACTTTTGTTTTTATTTACTCAGGACAGTGGAAACAAATTATTTAGTAAAGCAATCAAATAAAGGTCTGACCTGTTCATACAGTGTCATAGCAAACTTCTGATGAGAAATACAGGATTTTGAAGTGCACATATCTGTTTCACTGTTTGGCACTAGGTGAAAGTGAATCCTCTCAAGGATATTTTCCTAAATAGAAATATTAACGTAAATATAAACTGAACTGAAGAAGTCAGAATATATGAGCAACATTACAGTTTAATACTCCAACTAATCCCCTTGGCTCCAAATAGTCCACCTACAATTTTAGAGTGTACTTAATTCCGTCCCTATTCCCAACCCAGTGGATGGGAATTGTCTTCATCTCAACATTTCCAAACATTAACAAAACGGCACTAGACAAGTTACCAACTTCTTCGAGAGTGCATTCTCCTTTAAAGGAAGTGAATCTTCAAGAAAAATTAAAAAAGCTGTTCTTACAGTAAGACATGATATTAATGTCATTGCATGCAATGACTGAAATATTTTTTGGATCAGGCCTCTGTCTCAGTTCTTCTTCACACCTTTATGTTTTTCTCTGCATATCAACCTGATTATCTGATCACTTTTAGCACATGCACCAACACAACAAGTACCATTGACAGAAGCATGGAAAAAGCTCGTAAATAGCACATGCCCGATCCCATCCCAAGTCTCACTTTTTAACCTTAAAAGAAAGGAAAAAAAAAAAGAAAATTGTCATCAGTTGGCCCCTGAATCAGCATGGCCATTTTTTCCTCTTTTGCCAAAAATACCAGAGGTAATGGGAAGAAGTGAATCTATTCAGGTAGATCATTTAGACAGCTGATTACTTCAGGGGTCCAAATGCATTTGGATTAGATGGAGCACTAAAGAGACATTCTCTTTCATGACTGCAATCCATTAACCTGACTGCAAGATCTCAAACAGCCACTTTCAGAGTCCTCCACTGGATTCTCCTATGTATGTGAAAATGCATCTGGCAGGTAGGTATTCAATTGTGGATACTTCCAAAGGATGTCCAAAGCTGAAAGTAATCAAAGCAGCAACCGTATTTTCTGTCCCTCAAATTTGTGTCTGAAAGTTAATACTGATTTTTTTTTCTTTCCAATTTTCATTGTCTTCTTAAGACTTCTTAGAAAGGCTTCTTTACCAGTGTTCTATGCAATCCTGAGTCATCTTTTATGGCTACAGTAATGGCTCATGTTTTTCAATGAGACACTTCATAAAAGCAGAAAGTAATTGCAGCAAGAGTCAAGACCTTCAAGTATTCGTTCACTCTTGGATAAGAAAATGGAAATCTCTTCTGCAGAAGACTTCAGTAATGAGCTGGCTATTTGTAACGGAACATATTTCAATAGCTGATGAGAGAATACTTGGAGGAACAGACTATATATTCAAATCCGTAGGTGCCTCTTCTCCCGAGAGATAATCCTTCTCTCCATCCAAAAAATTTTGGGAGTGACTGAGAGGTCATCATCCTCACCGACCTCCTGTAGTAACAATGTTTCGTATATCCCTCTGCCTGAGCTACAGAGCAAGGGAAGAAAGTACAGAGCCAATGCAAGATTACTCCATCCCATGTTACCAGACACTCACTCCACGTGTCTGTTCCCCTAAACTGGCATAAAAGAAGGTCAGTAGTATTATGTCACTTGTATCCCACCTGTGAGCCTGGAGCTACTAAAACAACAGGCCAGCTTGGTATCCACAAAGCTAACGTAATTCTACTCAACTATCACAAAGAATACTTACAAAGCATTCTGCTGCATCATCCATGAATCCAAGCTGGAAACGCTGTTCATCCTTAAAACTTTCTGCCAGGGCGTGTCTCATATTATCCGATGGGAGCGCTTTTTCTCGACTGTGTTGAAATTGTGAAAATATTGCCTAGGAAGAAATACAATTACTTAGCTTCATTAGGCACTTGACTAGACACTGTGGCTCTACACAAATACATCAGTTCTTATGTAGCATGCCTAAACAGCAAATATAAAATGTTTATAAAGCTATGCAACTTTAGAAATTACTCTTTTCTCTCAAAGTTACTTAGGTTCCGTGTTCTGTTACTCATTCCATTATAAGAAGTTATGCTACCAAACTGAACTTTGACCCAGCAGGAAAACACAGAACTATATGAAAATGCAAGTGATTGACTTCAGCTCCCAGAAGGAACACAAGCCTTGGCCTGTAATTACGCAGCTTTTTTAATTTGGCCACTGGAATAGTGGTTCATGCATACATATCTCACCTTTACAGATGGTGTGTATTTCTCAGGGCATAATGCAATACCACTCAGGTTAGTTTAACACCCATCATTCATTAAATAATGTAACATTTACATTACTACTTTAGATAGGAGTGTATCTTTATTAACATTATGGCTGTGGAAAAGCTCCCATAAATTAGATAGAATGCTGATAATCCTTGCTATTAAATCCGCTCTCTGTTTTTTTAGTGGACACAACACAAGAGAACAGGTCAATATCCGCAGTTCCAGAACATGAGAATAAATTGCACTTGATTTTTTTCTTCATTTCCCAGAAGAGATAGTTGGCTACTACTTTTCTTTTGGGGAGAGATACGTATGCAAGTGACCTCATCATTTAGCAGGTAAGGGAGGTTGATTTTGAAAGAACTAAAAGTTAAAAGCTATTAAATGAATGAGAAAACATTTGCAGGTATTAAAGGGTGTATTGAACTGTCAAAAATTCTAAGTCAAACTTCAGAGAAAAATGAAGAGAGTCAAGACAAAGCAAATCAGGAGAAGCCATGTAAAATATAAATAAGAATAGGCATTCTTCACATAGGCCTCCTATGGTTAAAAAAAAAAAAAAATCTGTTGGACAGAAGGCCAACAAGATACAACAGATAAGCAAAGTTTCAGTGCTAACAGAAAGTAGTGTTTTAACCATGATGCATTCCAGGGTAAGTGCCTGTCAAATATTTAAACTTCCCTCTCGTAACAAAAAGCATGGACTACTGATAAAAATTAGTCAATAGCTCAATGTAAACATTCAAAATTAAGTTTTTAACAAATCTAGTAATACAAGCTAACTCTGCTTTGAAAACATTTATCACTGCTCATTTTGACTGCTAGGCCATTTTTGTTATGCAACAGAGCCTTACACGCCCAGCTAAAAAAAAAAAAGTACAGATAAGCAGTTATGCAGATATGTATGCTCATTTTAGTGGTCTGCATAGCCAAAGTCCCACCCCACTGTTATGCAGAGAAAAGAGCATACTTAACTCTCAGAACACCACCAAAAGAAAAAGATAATGGATTGAACTGAAGTAAACCAGAATTTATTTGCTATGCTTTTAGTTTATAGGAGAGGCTGATATAGATATCCTTGTTTATTGGTGAACAAGTAAGAAGGGTTAAAATAGCCCAAGACCTCCAGAAAAAAAAAAAAAAGCCCAAAAAACTAACCCAAGTCACAAACAAGTTACTGAAATGCATCCTCATCCAGCATACACACTGCATGAAAATCAAAATGCCCCAGGTTCTGAACACAGAACAAACAGAATCACTCAACCAGTATCTCTAAAAAGCCAGGGAAGCAAAACCAGTAGTGTACATAATGACTGAGGAGAGAGAACTTCCAAATGAGTTAAGCACAATGTTTTGAGTTCGGTACCAAGGCTACTGGTCATGGAGTTATAAAGATCACAACTATACTGTTAAAACAATAACTAATTCCATTCTAACCAATTTCAGAAAAGGCAGCAATATCACTTCTTACTGGTATTCTTGGGAACGTATCAAAATAGAAAGACATGACAGTCCAGGCAAGGCAAAATATTCAGGTACAGTAAGCCATTTAGATAAATTGCACAAGAAAATGCATCATGGGAGTAATCAATCCCTCAAGAATAGATACTTGAAAGAATAAAGAAAATTTCAAGGCCTAAATTACAGCAGCCTTATGAAGCAGCTGAAGCTAGTGTATTGCTTTGGAAGGTGACTTAAAGTGATGCAAAACCTATCTTACTTTGTAGTGGAGCCCCAAAAACTACAGGAAAAGAGAGGGTATTAAGGTACAGCAAGTGGTATGTTTAGCTTGAAAAAGAAGAAGCACCTGGTCTTCACAAGTGCACCATTAGAATGGAATGATTCATTACTTCCAGGTTCAATTGCATCCCACGAGCACTACCTTCTTCCATGTTACTGAGCACATTGAAACTGCTGTATTATTTTTACTATGATTCCAGCGATATGATTAGTCATTAAGAGTATGTAGTGTAACACATGCATTCCAGCAATTGTCACCTTTCAATCCTCCTTCATTTCTTAAAGACTGTTCCAGTGCAGCATTGAACAAGACTGTATATGACCAGAACTTCACATGTAATATGGGTCAAATCAAAAGGAAAAGGCCATAAAGTTTACTCTATATTATGACATCAGGTATGAACATGAATCCCTATACGCACAAAACTCCAGGAAACTAAAGCTATCATCCCAAGACAGACACAAGATTTTATCTGAAAACACAGATACGCCTGAGTTATGGTCTGGACTTCACGTACTAACAAGATCAAGTATCCAGCACACAGAAGAACATGATGTGCATCAAAACACTGGTGAAACAAAGTCCCAACAAGTTCTGTACAGCCAAGAGCCTGTAAAAAGGTTGGAATAAAAGCCTCAGGAAGTTAGTCTCAATACATGTAGTCTCAAGCTACTTCAACTTGTTGGCTTTTTAAAATTAACCATTTTAACCAAAGAAATAAAATGGCATCTTTTAGAAAAAACTATGTTTGGAAAAGACAGACACACATTCAAAACCAGCTGTACCATACTGCAATCATGATAAACACTAAAAAGAGCCGGAAAAAACCTACACGATATGTAAATTATACACCTCCTGAAAGATTAAATAAATGTCATCGCAAAGAGTTCTTGCCTAAAACGCTTATTCAGTAACAAGTTTTGGTAACAAGGTTTAGTCTGTGAAGTTCCCTGAGAATAAACTCTAAAATACTTGGCTTATCCTTGCCTACAATTTAGCATCGCCAAAAAACACTTCGTCAATGAACTACATTTTCAAACAGTGTTGTCCCTTTCAGCTCCCTGCAGATGAGTGATTCCCAGTTCTGTGTATCACTGTATCTACTACCGTATTTGACTATACATTCTACAGTTCTGTATTAGAATCCCATGTGTCTTTACTGTCAAATTGCAGTAAGAGTAGAAAGTGCATACTAGTAAAAAAAAAAACCAACCCTATACCTTTTTTCATTGGGATTTTTATCCCAATGAAATAGAGTTATCATGCTTACAGCTATTTCCCTAGTAACGGCAGGCAGCCAAATACCAGCGCAGCAAGAGCAATAAGAACCTAACAGAATTCGGTGTGTTTACAGACTTCAGATGAGTTACAAAACTGTTTGAAGGGCGAGTTTTATGCGCTAGTTAAGATATGCAGATCTGACTTACTTTCAAACACTAAAAATTTACCAGCTTTCATTAGTTTTCCAGTACCACTACCTGCCTTTCATTACTTACAAACTGAACAATTAAGTTGTGCACCATTACCATCAACTACTGAGTTAAAAAAGAATCTTGAGACCTTGTCAGACAGCAATATAGTTATTGTAAAAGAGCCGTATTCAAACACTACAGGAAAGAACAGAAGCATATACATGCAAATAGAAGAAAAAAATCTGAGAGGCTAGCTAGAAATTTTCAAGTTATACTGTCTTTTACTAGACAAAAGTTTTATGTTTAAGCAGACCGTAAAATTTGTGTACTGTAAAATTTCTTCTTTAAACACAAGAAAATATTTCTGTTACAAACATCTGTTACAAATGTCCTTAAATCTAAATTGTTTCTTTACACAAGAATGACTTAGAGTCACCCAGACATATGTATGATAGGGACATAAATTAGTAAAAATTAGTTAAATTATTTTTCCCTCATTTTGAAAGATGATTCTTCCAAAAATTGTTATTTACCTTTAAAGCACAAAATATGCACGCATCTCCCTGACACACATGTCCAGTTAAACCTCTTAAACTTCGTCGAAATATGTCAAGTTGCCATAATACCTATAAAAACAAAGTTTCACAGAAAAGAAGTAATGAGTTCTGAAGGTTCTATGTTTAACACAACAACATACAGTAATTTTCATTTTTTTTAATTTCACATAACATGTACAACTTGAGCACCAACATTGCTACAAGAATTATGGTCCTTTCCCATTAGTTTGGTAAATTGTGGAGGTGAAAGTGGAAGGTTCACATTCACCACTCATAACATTTAGATCTCCTTTTTAAACTTCTTGAAACAATGGCAAACAATGTACTTTGTGTGGAGAAAGAGCTGAAGTACTCTTAAGGAAATAAGCACCAAGCTAAACTGTGTACAGAGATTGTAATAGTCGTCTTCTGGCTTTACATAAGAAGGCGGCAGCTACAGGGTTTACTTTATTTCTCCTTCCCTCTCCCCACTTCCGTGCTTTCTTTAAAAAAAAGAAAAAAAGATGGAAACTGAATTGCTAGGTAAAATGCAAGCATAATTTCAGGTTAAGTCTATACTACATTCTTATGGTCTCTTACTAAAATAGTTGCTGAAATACATTTGTTTTTCCCCAGATCAAAATAATCCTCCTGCTTAATCAGGTATGTTTCTACCTTTTATTTGTGTAACTACTCTATATAAAGGTAACGTCAGCTTGGCTACACTATGCTGCTTTCAGTATCTAACATCTTAGGTACACAATCAGTGCAGTAGTTCAGAAAGTTGCCCATTAAAAAAAAAACCCAACCCAAAAATGAGTTCTCAAGAGGCACAGTAACACAACAGCTGCAAATCCAGAAAAAAAAAATCCGATCTAGAAATATAAAACCTAAAATGAATTAGAATGCATTTGAAAATGAATGTCCGAACCTCAGTTTTGAAGGTTGAACAGAGGTTAAAAGAAAAGAAAGGAACACATTCCTCCTTGTAAAAGGGCAGTCACCAATCATCAGCCACGGTTTGATAAACAGCAGTAGGTTGTGAAGTAGTAGGATTATCTGAAACTATAACTAAAAATGACTTAGGGTTTAATTTTAGGGCACCCTAAGGGAAAATAGCAAAACTGCAAGAGAATATAGGTCATGCTGTTCCCATTGAATGTAAACCAGCAAACTCATTCTACTAAATCTATTGTATGTTTTTATTTTAAACATTTAGATACCATACACACCACATAGATCTCTCTCTCGTATCTCCTATGTTTAAATCCATACAATTTTTAAGGCTTACAATTTTATTTTTTTTTTTTTTTTAAGTCTAGGCATCCATTAAGCCCTCTGCCAGTTTGGTAAATAATTCTGTACAATTTGAAAATTATCAGGTCCAAAATCTCAACATTACAAAAAAATACATTGTTTTGCTCTTCATTTGCACAGCCTAGAAATTTGCTGCTGTTAATTTCTAGATTTAAAAAGACTATAGTATAAACTAAACTGTGCCTGGTATTCTAACTTGCAGACAATGTGGAAAGGCTAGCACTGCTCTGCCACAGAATTAAGTAGATCCCCATATTCCCTGTCATAAGTAGGCTTGTAAAAGCTCAATTTTTTATCATGCTAATATCACTGTACTATTGAACTACACTTGAGAGATCTAAAGAGCAAACATTTTTTCAATTACAGCTCATGTAAAAACAGAACAGTGTGTAGGTAAACACATGCAAGAAGCTGGTCAGCAATACATATGCATATAAACAGTAAAAAGAAATCTAAGTCATATTTCTTTGGTATCAAGTGTATCTCCTACTCTAATTCCACAAATCTTTCCTAATATTAAAATCAAAGCTTTCAACTTCTGACTGTATCTTCTGATACGCCCCAGTACCACAGACTCATGTATTAATTCTGAGAAAATGGTATTTTAATAAAAAGTGTCCTATTCAATACACAGTAGTACCAGTTGCCCCACATTAAAAAGTGTCTTGTAAATTTTGCCAAGTAATAAAACTGCTATGTTTGACAGAAACATTAGTTTTACAATTCAAGCAGCAAGTTTTCAAGTTATGAGTCATAAGATTCCAAATACAAAAGGAAAGTTTTTCTGATATTCTTAATGCATGCAAACAAAATAACATGCTGTCATTTTTCACAAAATTAAATATTTAATGCTCTCAATCAATTCTTTAAAATGAAATGCTAAATAAAATTACTTCCACACAGTTGTCTTTTTCCTACGATTGCCTTTTTTTTTTTTTTTAGGAAAGCCCATTCCAAAAAGACATGCTATTCCGTCTTACGTGGAATCATTAAGAAGTTTAACTGAGAACTGAATTTAACACCATTGAAAAACATGCTGTATTTTTCTGCAAAATACACGTACTGCAATACAAATGGTAAAAACAGCACTGCCAAGAGAACACTTCCCCTACCATAACCAGCTAAGCTGCTATAAAACCAGAACTGTTTAATAAATTCAGTTTTTTCTTACCTGAACAGCACTATTAAGAAAGCAGCTGTTTTGTCCCGGTTCGTTTAATAAGCCTTTTGTAGGGGCCAGGGACAGTATACTTCCAGGTTGATAAGCTTTTGCAAGGTTACCCCCAGGTTTTCTTAAAAATTTCACCCATGCCATTGTTTTTTAGACTTTATAATTGCAATATTTATGCTTAAATATTTAAGGATATGATGCGTGCAAGGCAAAGAAGAAGGTCCTAAGAGAATTGCTTTGAAGTCATGGCATCCCATTCAACTCTGTGCAACAGTAACCATTCATGGATTTAAGTCCATTTTCCATGAGCAGCTGTCAGCCATGTATCAGGACCAGTCACTCAGTTAAAATACAGCTATACAAAGTTTTCAACTCTCAGACTTTAAACAAAAAAAAAAAAGGTGTCCAGTTAAGGTTAAAATATGTTAAAAGTTATTACAATAAAAGTTCCTATTGAGCAAGTTGCATGGTAACTGACTTCTCCTTCCAGGGATATAGATGAAGTATTACTATAAATCATCAGTTGTATTATATTGCAAGTTTATATATATGACAAAAATGGAAAGTTCGACAGGCGTTATACTCCTGTTCTCTCATTTTGTTCCATCTTCTTTTTACTTTTATCTGTGACCCATGAAATATATTCCAGTTCAGAAGACTCCATGTTTATTTCATTCTCTTTCCAGGGAATCTGAAATAGGAAAAAAACAGAAAATATAAAAATAGCACTTTTCAAACTGTTAAAGACCTTCTAAATCAGAAAAGAGATCATGTCCAAAACAACCTCTTAATCTAAAGGCGATGCAATAACCAGGGAAGAGGAGGAGAAACAATCACCACCCAGAAGTTGTTTTTAAGGCAGAAAAATTATTTTACCTGTTATAAGCTATTATCTTCTAATGTATTATACACCTCTTAAAGACCACAATAAAATTACTGTAAAAGGTTCTGCTAACAATATGCAACAGCTCATAAAGACCACAGAACATGAGTTATTCTAACTTTGAATCTCCAAGATTACCAAGAAATAAATATTTTCAGTCAACACTTGAAAGCCTAAGATGGTTTTGATTTCAATAACCCAGCAAATCACATGAACTGATACGTATTTCTATGTCTTAAGATTACTGAGATGTTTTAGATGGATTCTCAGCTAGTACTCAGCTTTCAAGATTTTTTACTACCTAGTGAACACTACATACATGTCATTAACCTAGTTGCGTTCTTAAAGCATCCAGAAAAAACACAGCTAGTAGCACAGCAAGAACATTCCGGTAGCTGCCCCAATAACTGATTCCAAGATTTTCAAATTCCAACAATAAGAGCTGTTTCTCTCATTGTTGACGGTACATATTTAAGGTTAAATGACTCATCATCCAGAACATCACCACAGGCACATGTAAAGCCCATGCAGTGATCATCTCACAACAATGGCCTGTTCAATCAGTTTGGCATTACTACATCATCCACATAAACATTTGAAGTAACAGCGCACGACAGAATAAACTTAAATATACCGAAGTGATTAAGGTTGCATATTTGGGAAAGACAAAAAAAAAAAAAGGGGGGGGGCCAAAATTGGGCTTCACATTAGAACTAAGATATTCACCCTAGATTTTACAAGCATGTGAGATACTAAAGAGGTAACAGTATACTTCAAAACTTGCAGCCTTCTCACTACAATTTTTTCCACTGTGCAAGCCTTTCAAGATTGGTGAGTAGCATTAAAAAAAAAAAATAAATTTTGTAGTTGGAACACTGTCTAAACTGGAAGATAACTTTCCCCAGCTCAGAACAACCAACACCACATTCACGTCAAACAGTTCTATAGCTCTCAAATATTGTACAGCTGGGATACCACAGAAACAAATCACATGACTTTCAAAAATACCCGCAGGAAGTCTTGCACCCCTAAAACCATTCCCCTTTATTTAACAGAAACATTGGTACTTGCTTGTATTATCAAAAAAATCAATAACTGGAACCTAACCAAAAGTCCCTTTTGCCCTATGCATGATCAGATAGTTTTTGTTTGCTTACTGATGTTACTGTATCTCACCCGTAAGTAATCTGATTTAATAATACTGGAAATAGTAAGTGTGATTTGTGACAGCACTGAGCAAGGAGTCTGAAATCTAACTGGAAACTGACCTTAACAGAATGTCACGTGGTAACTTTGTTTTATTTGTGTTCATTTCAATAAACCCAGAAAGGGGAAAAAAAAAGAAAAAGATGTAGCAAGTAATTGGAAATGCATATCAGTTTAAGATATTATTAGAACCTTAAATTAATTAAAAGGAGTATCAACTTCTCCCCCCCCAAAGTCAAAGTGCTCCACAGCGTAACAGCTATTCTTCTACAAAGGACCAAACTCTAAGAAAACAGGGACAGAGGTGAAGGTAAGAGTAAAACAAAGTTAACACAAAAAAAGATTAAAGATTCTCTGAAGTCAGGTATGCAGAAGTGATAACATGATCTGTACAGAGCAATTAAAGGAAAGAATATTTTTAACAAGTGTTTTCATTAGAAAGTTTCAGCACAGCACATAAATAGAAAATAATGAATTGCTACAGTAAAGATGAATAAAGAGGAGTCAAGGAAAAAATCTAAGGTGTATAGCTCTTTATAATCAGCTACATATATATGCACACATATACAAAAAATACATACACATACATATATTCAAGAAGCCAGTATCACGCATCAAAAGCGCTTAGTAATATGAAGCATCATTTGCCCCAAAGTCTCCTGCTACCACAGGGAACTAACTTTTAATTCATTAAAAAAGTTATAATGATGATTTAATAAATAAATAAAACCCCAGAAGAATCTTACATTCAACTCTTTCAACCATCAAATACTTTCTACTGATTTAATATTTCTATATCCATACTGAAAAACTGACCTAATACATTTTTGTCACAAAAAGAGCTTGCTCCTTGACATACCAGAGAAGCTTTTTGAGCACGCATTTTCCTGGCAATACAGAGTTCTTAATTCCACTTTATGTAATTGCCCATATGAAGAATTACGTGTGGTTTTCTCCACCCTCCTGCTGCTGTCCCAGAAGACAAAACTGAGTTAAGAGGAACAATTTCTGGTAATCAGCAATATCAAACTGGGTGCACTGAAGGGGAAAAAACAGGAAAGAGACTGGATTGGGACCAGTACAGCCTGTGGCAGCCATAAAGGTGTAAAATCTATGTGCACTCCAATGCATGCTTGAGATGTCCCTCATTGCGTTCCTACCTTTGAGTAGACAGGAGCAACAGGATCGATACAGTTCTGACCCAGAAACACCAGGCTTGCTATCAGGGTCTCCCAACCTAAAACAAATTCCCTACTGAATACACTACACCTCATCTCCAAAACTGCTCATAGAGTGGTACCCCACCAACAGTGGTGATTCAGCCAGCCTGTTCCCTGCTGTCTGCACTTCAATGTAAAGATTGCTCAGCATATAGCAGCCAAAATAAGGGAAGGAAATAGATGGAAAGTAAGGTAGACTGTATGCCAATGATAAAATACAGAGGTTACTGGGAAAAGACATGTTTCTGGTATCTAAGCTTCATTTGGAAACAGATCTCACATATTCAACTGTGAGGCTGGACTACAGTTGGTTATTTAAAGAAATCCATGGATAGACAAGAATGGCAGGATTCATGTCCGGCCAAAAAGAGAGAAAAGTTGAATCCTTGCTTCCTAAGTTACTTTCTCATCTGAAGTAAGTGTAACGATAGACCCAAAGTCATGTTGAATTTGGGAAACATTTGTGGTTTTTTTCTTTAAATGAAAAGGGAGATAGCTACTACAAACACACCTGTGAAACAGACCCCTAAGACCAACAGACAAAAATTATAAAACATTCAGAAAAATTTCACCTCTGTAGTTCTCATTTTCAGCCTTGGGACTTAGTTATATTAAGTCACAAGGGCAGAAGAGATTCCATTAACTGTTATGTTTCTTTCCTATCATACTTCCAATCACAATTTCCCCATGTTTCTGAACAACAGATTTATGCATGGATATGGGGGCATAGAACCTCTGAATTTACCTAGTCTGTATTTTAACTGCTAAGAAATACACATGCTGTTTTGGAAACAAGAGTTCTTCCAGAAAAATTTAAGACAAAGAGCATTCATTCACTAAAAACTCCTAGGAAGTCATTGTGTCCTGCATTTCAGGGATGCCCTAGAACTAACATCCCATGCACTAAGCATTTAGCTGTTGTGCTGGGTTTCAGAAAAGTTATAATGATTCACTGCAAGAATTTAATAAAAAATGGTTCTATGTTACTGTCACATTACATTAAGATGCTTGCTGTTTAATTTCACATCCACAAAGTTGTGAATACGAACAATTTCAATTATCACACCAGGTAAGTGCACACAATCTTATTATTCTAATAAATAGCAGAATACATTCATTGTACAGTTTTCATATGTGGGCCAGATATTCATTTTCCAAAGCACTATGAATTATATTAATATGGCCTCTATTAACTATCCATAACATTAGTACACCTTTTCCTGAAAATTTAAATACAACACTAGAAAGATGAGAAGTGACTACTTAAAAATTATTTTCATGCAACCTTCTCAAATTACTCTTTCTATAAATGCATTCTTTACACTGCGTATCGAACTAAACATACCCCCCTGTGTCAAATATTTAAGAAAAAAACAGAAAGGCATATCAGAAAGGTATTCCATTTAAAAGATCTCTCTGTACTTCTACTACTCAACTAGAACTTTGCACCGAATGGGCACTCTAGTCCCTTTGTTTTATCTACTACTCTTTCTCCCCAAAAACGGTCACAGTCAACCAAAGGAACAGACAGTGGCTATGAAATACTGCTATCTTGACACACAGTTCTCTGGCCAACATGACTAGTAAGTCCTAGCCTGGAGCAGGAAGTTCCACTACCCTTTCCTTCTCCGCTAATACCCTGTATCAAATACTGTGGTGCATAGCTTCTAGTAAGAGGGGCACTGTAGGCAAGCCTTCCAACAGTGCCGTAAGCAACGGGATTAACTTCTGTCATCCATTTGTCATCACAGCCTCTCCCTAAGGAGAGAAAGATTATAGTAGCAACTTGTTTCGAAATCTACACTGTACAGGTATCTCCAAGTTTGGTTTTGTTTGGGGAAAAAAAAAAAAAAAAGAACAAAGCCAAGATCAAAGAAAGCTATTGTGGAAGATGCTGGCAAGGATGTATGCTCTTTAGTCACAGCAAATTTTTCTGGATTTGGACCATCCCCCAGAAGTATTATTCCTCTGCTGACAAGCCTACTCTCATTGTAGGTTGTTCTGATCAACCTTGGTTCCTGCCACCTCCCCTAATGTTTGGTTAAGCTTTTAGATGACTGAGACACAGACCACTGACTCCTTTAACCTAAATTCTACACTCCGTAGGACTATAATTAGGAACTGAAGACTGTTCTTACATGTCTGTGGTAAGCCACTGTTCCTAAGAACACTGTAGCATTTATTAGCCACTGGGGTTTACCAGTTCTCTGTAAGTTCTTGGCTTGACAGAGGCATGGGTGACTGAGCATAGATCATACGTCATTGAACCATACAGAGTCTTCAACAGGTGCAATCTTTCAGCACAACAGTTATTTCACCTGGAGTTATTGACATGCTACGTAAGATTTCTAGCAGCTGAGAGTTAAAG